CATTACACTTGGAAATCTGGAGATGAACGTCAGAAGAAACAGCTAAATGAATTGCAAGTAGCTGTTTTTGGGGATGGGTCTCAAGGAACTGCGGTTTTTCACTGTAAGTCTTGTAGTACTTTTGACTTTTAGTATTCATGTACATGAAAACTCTGGTACAATAAAAAAAAATTAGGTACCGTTTAAGCATGATAATGACTACTTTGTGTTCTAATTCCATAAGGAAAGATTCTTGGAGAGAAATGCTCTAAAGATCTCGTCTTACTTTTTATTTCCCCAATATTTATAATGAAAAGAACATGCTGACTTCTTTGCTTAAATTATTACTTCTCTCCTACAGTTTTATTATTGCATATCAGTATTCCAACAGATATTCTAAGCAAACAACTACACTATAACCTAGCGAGAAATGGTTATGTCTCACCCAAGAGAGTTAAGATTTGTAGACCCATTCCATATAACACACTTAGGCTATGAGCTAATAGGTGGATAAAACATGCCAGGCCCTGTCCTAATGATTCTAAGCCTACATGATACATTTCTCTCCTGTGAGGAATATGGCTTCATTAACCACCTGCTGAAGTTCAGTTTGGAAGAAAGGTAACTTACGGTGAAAAATTTTCTCTCATGAAAAATAAACAATTTTAAGGGTCAAAAAGCCACAGTGAAAATAGTCCATGATGATCACTTTGCTTAATTATATTATTTGGAGATACACAGACATTAAAGGTTAACTAATCTATTCCCTCATTTTACAGAAAACTGTGGCCTAAAAAAGTTTAGTGACTTGACTAAAATGACCCAGTCTATCTTCAGATTTTGCAAGGTGATCTATGTCACTTAGCAAAGGACAAACAACTAATATTCAGTATTTACTCTCAAAGTAAAGTTGGGAATAGAGTCAATCCTTGTAATTCAAGAAAAAAAAAATAAGAATGCTATAAGATTACCTTGATTTTTGGAAGAGAGCTTTTTTTTTGTGTGTGTGTGTGATCCTTTTCACTGTACACATAAAAGAAATTCAATACAGAAAATAATTTCGACTACAGAAAAAAAACTGCTATTAAGAGTTTGGTGCAATTTTTTTTGCTTGATTAATATACTATAAATTATATATTGCTTATTGTCACATTCATCAAACTCTACTATTATTTTTTAATATAGACTTTTCTTCAGTTATTAAGAGAAGGGAAGGAGATGGCAAAAACCTAGAAACTGGGGGATCCCTGAGTGGCTCAGTGGTTTAGCACCTGCCTTCAACCCGGGGCATGATCCTGGAGTCCTGCGATCAAGTCCCGGGATCGAGTTCTGGGACAGAGTTCCAGGATCGAGTCCTGCATCAGGGTCCCTGCATGGAGCCTGCTTCTCCCTCTGCCTGTGTCTCTGTCTCTCTCTGTGTCTCTCATGAATAAATAAATAAAATCTTAAAAAAAAAAAACTAGAAACTTCCAGATTTATAAAGAGGAGGAGCAATTTGAATTTCTTATTCAAATTACAAAAGCTCATTAAAAGGCAATAAAGCAAAAATATGACCAAAACTAATATACATTTTTTTAAGTATTAACAATTTTAAAATAAGGCTATGGCTTTGATATAGCTCCAAATTAAAGCTAGTTCATGCCCACAACTTTGAACTATAAAACATGCTTAGGTTAGACTTTGAGAATTTATTTTTATATAAATAGATGGTTCAAATAATTAATTGGTAAGGAATTAGAAAGCCCTCAGTTCTATTTATTTACTTTACTTTTCTTTTTTTTTTTTTAAGTAGGCTCCATGCCCAGGATGGAGCCCAGTGTGGGGCCTGAACTCATGACCCTGAGATCAAGAATCGCATGCTTACTGACTGAGCCAGCAGGTACCCTGAAACTCAATTACTTTTTTTAAAAAAATTTTTTATTAACATTTTTTGTTTCGTTTCATTTTATTTAAGTAATCTCTATACTCCACATCAGGCTTGAGCTCATGACCCTGAGATCAAGAGTCACATATTCTTCCAACAGTGCCAAGCTGGCCCCCACTCTTAAAATCATACCTACTTTACCATAGCCTGCATGCAGGCAATGACTAAATGGTATGTGTTTCCTCTAGTTGATATATATTGAGAAGGTATTTATTTATAAGCAGAGATGCCAAGAAGATATTTATTTGTAAGAATAAAAACCAGTAGGTATCTTGGGGGACTCCTCCTCTGAAGTCAATCTTCTTGTACATCATAAGGTTTTCCACCATATACAAGATCTGTTTTTATTATGAGAGCTTCTAAGTTTATTATTATAAGAGCTTTGTAAATTCTTCAAAGCTTATGCTCTTATTTTTCATGGCAGTGCCCTTTCCCAATTACTCCACATATGGGGATATCAGAGTTATTGTTAAACAGATCATTAAAGATGACAGACCAGGTCCTTATACCTGACTAAGTTAGCCCTGAGTATAAATTAGGTGCTTTGGGACACGCATGCTCTCTTTGGATCACTAGGGTCATATTACTGCACTGAAGCACAGACAATTTACTAACTCTGGTCCAAATCTGAACTGGTGATTAAAAACTGATGGTGTTTGACACTAATAGAGTGTTCTTAATACCTGTGTTCAGAACACTGCTTTTCCAATTTGAGACTAACTAGTTTAAATAAACATTTGTATTTATGCTTTATCTCCACTATTTTACTTTGGAGAAAATGTTTCACTTAGATTAAACGAACACCAAGGATAAGAAAATTCATAATGAAATACTCTATTTGCCTCCATTAAGAGACAAATGATACTGCTTTTCTACTCAATTTTCAAATATATAAGAAATATCTGAAACATTTTTAAAGTACTGTCAGCCTTAATATCCTCAATGTTGAGAAATCAATGACTATTTTTGAATGGTAATAGGCACAAAGAATTGTGCTACTGAATTCATCTGAATATCTTGCACTATTAATTTATGTAATTTCTTAGTTTTTGCCTTAATAAACTTGACTGGAATATATCAAGAGAACATAGCCAAAGATATACCTCCTTTAGAAATGGAACTCTGATCTTTTCAAGGTCGTTAATACTGTTATGTGAAATAATAATTTTGGGTACATAAAATGTGTTCATAAAATATTGCACATCTTGCAGAAACCTATCAGGACATACTCAAACAGGTAAAATCTGCTTTTACCTCAACACTGATTCACTCTGAAAGTAGGTTTGCAGTCTACACTTTAAACACAGAAGCTGGTATCTCTTGCTATCAGATTATAAACACAATGTCTATATTATCAAAGAGTTCATCTACTGCAAACATCTGAATTGTCCGTTACAGAAATATTGAATTTCTTTATATTACTCTAAAATAATATTAGGTTTAGAGTTATATTTCAGACTTATAAAGTCAAAGCTCAAAATATCTCAGCATTGGATTTTTGAAAGGCAAAAGGAAAAAGAAATTAAACTGCTCAAAGTTAAGACAGGTATAGTGTGGCAAACAAACCTATTGTCTGTTTTTTATTTTTGTACCACTCTTCTCACATTAAAAGAGGGATCCATGCCATGGCAGGCATGAAAAAAAGCAAGATTTTGAAAAAAATTTTTTTACACTAATTAAAGGCGTTTTGGAAATAGTCCCTTGCGTTCTTCAAAAAAGTTAGCAGCAATACTTTATGCTGGGTAAAAAAAGAACACTGCTTCTCTTCTTAAATGTCCAATGTAGAGGGTGGTGATTACTAAATTTATTTTCATATAAATGTTAAAAATTCTTGATCATGTTCCAAATCTTTTGTAAAAGAAGCAACTGTACCAACAATGAATTTGGGGCTATACTACACCAACCACATAATACACTATCTTGTCTAGAAGAGTAACTTATTTTTTAACTTACTGCCTCTAAACTAATCTTTTCTTCACTCTAAGAAGCAGGAAGTTAAAGAATTTTATATCATATGAAATATCCTACGGATTTTCGTTTTGATTTTACAGAATCATCTTTTATCTTTGGGCTTTCCATATCAAATTCAAATTCATCTTGATGAAGTAAACTCTATCCAAATATTGTAAATAGATAATCAATAAAGCAAGTTATACTATATAAAACTTTTATTAAGCTGAGATCTATTTAAAAAAAAAAACTTAGAAATGGTCTAAAGTAGGTCCTTGATTTATTCACTGAACATTCACCAATTTACCTCCAACATAAAGTAGTGGAAGAAATTTGAAATTGGGTCCATCTGAACTCTGGCTGGCTGAGAGATCTCCCATTGTCTGGACAACATCAAGGAATATCTGTTACATGCAGGGATATTGCCCAGAGGTCAAGCCCAAATTTTTACTCCTAGTTTCCTGAGATGACGCTGGACTTGGGGTACCTACTTTTCTGTGTTATGTGGCTATAAGCAATAAGAATTTTTTCTTCGATGACGAAGAATATACTATCAGAATTATTTCTTAAAAAAAAAAAAAAAGAAGAAGAAGAAATAGCTGCCTTCCCAAGTCCTGACTGCAATGTATTTTAGAATAAGCCATTCAAATTGTCAGCTGGCATCCCAGATTGTTGCTTACTCTAAACTATCCACCTCTTTTCAGGGAATGCTTTCCTTATATCTGGCAGGTAGGAAATATTAGAGCTTGAGATAAACAATGTATTTTCCTGTAACCAAAATTGTCCCCCTGCGGTTGCTTCTTTCAATAAAGCGATATACTATGATGGAAAAATGTGATTCATTTTCCAAAAATGTGTTTACAAGCAACTGTTTAGGAACATAGCTCTTTTGCTAAGGCAGGAACATCTGTATTTACAACACAGATCTGAAACACCTACTTGTTTTTCTGTATAACAGAGCATGTTTCTCTTGGCCAAAACCATGTTTTATCTTCATATTTGAGCAGGAATTTATAAATAGGTCACTCTTGGTATTTTAGCCAGAAGAACACTGAGCCATTAGTTTTGTTTTAGGGAAAACAATGAAGTGTAACCGCAAAAAATATCATGCTACTCTTTCTACTTCCGCACATGCACATGAAATTACCTTCTGAAGTCTTCTTTAATTCAGTTTTCAGTTTTTCCTGGTCTTCTACTAGTTTTTTATTTTCTGTTTCCAAAATGTGTTCCTCTTCCTTGACATAGCTTTTCAAGAGCTGTCAGAAAAGAATTACAGAAAGAAGTAAGCTTAGGCTGAAATGACCACATATTATTTCAGGAAACAGGCTGAATAACATATTTAAAATTATTAGTCTTTATTTGAATCTTTGTCCTTTTAGCATTTTATAATTTTCTATAATATACTTTTGCTGATAGAAAGGTGAATATTTGGCAAACAAAAAGATTTCTTCTCACTAAGGTTGAAATCTCTAAAATGAAAGTAAGAGTTCTTGGTTGGGCTATAATTAAAAATATGTTTTGAGGGGCACCTAGGTGGCTGAGCTGGTTAAGCTTCTGCCTTTGGCTCAGGTCAAGATCCCAGGGTCTGGGACTGAGTCCTAAGTTAGACTCTTGATGAGCAGAGAGCCTGCTTCTCCCTTTCCCGCTCCTCCTGCTTGTGTTTGTTCTATGTCAAATAAATAAAATCTTTTTAAAAAATTGTGTTTTCAGAAAGTATTTATGTAAGCAATATGAATGTCTTTTTCTCCATTAAGTATGTGATATAAATCTGAGGAAAAAAACAGTTCTGAGGATGATATTAATTGGTAAGCCATTATGTATGTTCCAATTACAGAGCTGTCTACTTAGACTATTTTTATGCAGACCAATCTGTAATATATATATATATTTATTTACATATATATATATTATATATATAACGTCAGGGTGGAGATGGGCAAGTGTAAAATGACAGGCCCATCTCTATGCTCGGAAAATTATACCTATTTTTGAATAGTCATTGAATAGTTTCCAAATTACTTTTATTCAGTTAATCTTTTTCAATGTTTTTTATATTCTGAAATTTACGTGGGCTTTTACAGTAATGTTTTTTATATGTTTATAGATCATCTTTTCTAGGTAAGAAAAATTGACCGCAATAATAAAATATTTGACTGAAATTAAAATATTATGGGGTAAAAATTTCATACTCTGTATGTCTAGAAGGAAACCATCATAGTTAATAGAATTAAGAGGCTTACTTATGTTAGAGAAATTTTAAGATATTTAAGTTACCAAGAAAGACAAATTAATGTCTGAAAAACAGAACATGTAGACACTGGCACAGGTTATTTGAGCAAATAAAGTGGCAGCAACTTGATATTGACAACTTCCACAGGTGAAAAAAAGCAGCTCAGGATAATTTTAAACAAAGTGACGGAAAAGAATTTCTGCTGCAGGGTAATTCCTTTTCTTTTTTTTTTAATATTTGTTTTATTTAAATTCAATTAATTAACATATAGTGTATTATTAGTTCCAGGTGTAATTCTTTTTTTCTGATGTAAGCTGGTACATCCAACAAACAAAACTCACAAAGTTCTACTAAGCATGGGCTACATACAAATACATTACAATTTTTTAAATTAGGTGATAATAAGGGATAAAAATGCAAGAGAAACTTGGTCTCTGCTCTCATGTGACTTCAATCTAGTGGAAAGGATGAGACAAAAGCATAAAAACTGTAGCCTAAGATCAAATACAGTACTATTATGTTAGAACAGAGATTAGACAGCTCAGAAGGAGGAATTAAAGCTCTAATGATATATTATATGACTGCAAAGAATTTTTTTAGGAGACAAAAAACCAAACTACATACTTTAGTTGAAGGAGCCTCCTATCTTTAAAATTAAAAAAGAAAAAATCCTAAAGAGTAGAAATAAGAATTTTTTCCAAATCTATATAAATTTGTTGCCTATTTTATGTTCAAAATAATCCAAGCTGTTACTTCACTGAATTCGGTTCACACAGTCTCCAGTGATTACCCAAATTGGAAGAGAACCACTGAGTTGCAGGAATGTTTATACTGACTGCTTGAATTATTATGCCATTGAGTTGGAAAAGTTGGATTTGTGTTGGTCTTGTAAATAAGCTTTCATTATCGCACCTGCAAACTTGTCCAAATTTATTATGTATGACTTGATGCTGGGGAAAGACCAAGAGCCCTGGAACTGAAATTCAATAGCTACTAGCTGCAATAATGTATGTGTTTACTAGCCCACCCATCTTATACCACCCTGGTAATTGGCTGGAAAAAAAAAAACTAGTAAGAAGTAAAGTTCTGTCACTGTTGTTATTTTAAAGCAGTAAAATTAAAAGTTAATTGGTCTTTCCTAATTATTTTATCACCTGAATATCAGAACAGAAAGGGGTACCAGGTACCATCTATACATCATCTTATAAGACAGCATACACAGGGCATGAAACAATGTGGTTAAGAGTGTGGATACTAGAGCCAGGCTGCTGGGATTCAAATTTTAGTTCTGTCATTAATTGAATGGTTCTGTGCAAGTCACTTAACCTTTTGTGCTTCCATTCCCCCGTATATAAAATAAGATAATAGCAGTACCAATCTCATCGTGCTGTCGCAAGAATTAAAAGTTAATACTTTACTGTGACGGATCTGAAGCAGTACCTAGCATAGTGTTAGCTAGCTATTACTTGTAACAGTTGAGAACATGTGAGGTGACTTGCCCCAGGTCACAATGATAATTACTGATAGAGTTAGGACTAGCACCTAAGTCTCTTGGATCTCAGGATAAAACTGCTTAGATATGGTATCTCTGGTACAGAATAAAGAGTTGTTTCAGCAATTTTATCTTTCCTTAGATAATACTTCAAAATCTACATGAAATGTCTAAAACAGAAGTCATATTTGATATTCTGACCTTTGGCTTTTGTCAATGAGGTCCACTTTGGGCACTGACAGTATTTGTGTGCAGCTCACAAACTTTCTCCTTACAGCATACTGGTTTTAGCTCAGTGTATCTACGTGTCTCTCACGATCTGGGGCCAATGAGGTCACAGATAGGAAGGAGGGAACGAGGACAGGATGGAATCAAAGGGGAGGAAAACAAAAACAAAAATGAAAAAAAGGGGAGAAATTGCTGGGGAATCAAAGAATCAGTGGTCATGAAATAAATTTCCCTGCAATGGTAACTTGTGGAAACAACTGTAAAAGAAAAGTTCTAAAAATATTTTGAGGAAGGTGCTTTTTTTAAAGGACAAGACTAATTTAAGTATGCTAAATATAGTGTATATGAAAAAAATAATAGTACCAAAATTTGATAAAAACACTTTCCATTTTCTTAAAGCTGATGAGTAAAAGAAAAACAACTAAAAAATAAAGAAGAAAAAAGCATTACTCTAACATGATAGGCATAATTTTATTTATTTATTTTTATTTATTTATTTTTTATTCATTTAAATTCAATTTGCCAACATATAGTATGGTGCCCATCTCAGTGCTCATCTCATCATGGATGGGCATAATTTTAAATCAAGATAGGTACATAGTAAGTTTACAAATATGAGGCTCTGTGCTTTTGAGTTCAGCCGTTATATATTAATCAAAGCTTTGAGGGTTTTGTTTTTTTTACTTTTACCATTTTGATGTAAGATTAAAGGATAGAAAATGAAGCAAGTAATATTGAGGTACAAAATAAGGCTGATTTCATTACTAAGACATTCCAAAAAAGCAAAGATGACTTATTGCCTATTTTTGAATATGGAAATATCAAGAGCTTGATTTTCCAGACCTGTATTTACTACAAAGGGAAATTTACATGACATCTATGGATCAGTGCCTTTTCAAAATAGAACAAAAAAAAAGTAAAAAACAAAGTGGTGCTGATTCTCTAAAAGTTTCCTTAAAAGTTGGTGTTTACAATCCCTTCAAAGAAATGTTTGAGTGCTTTTTTATATGGAGAAAAGTCCTTTCTTTACCTTTTCGCTGTAGTGGAAAATAAGGCAGACATCATTAGAAATAAAACATAGGTTCTGAATAGGTGACCATTATACTAAACCACTGAACACATTTTTTTGTATGTGTTGAGTTTTGCCTTATTTGAAAGGTTCTGGAAAGCCTTCTATTATGTATTGGCTAATTCATTTAGAACAGATATAAGGTAGTGCTTACAGTTCTATAAGAGGCTAGGCTCTAGGTCTAGGATAAATTTTTTAATCTCTACTGTTAAACCTGATACTTTTTACATAAATATAATTTGATATAATACTCAATTGATTATTTGTGTTTCAGGAATTTATAATAGGGAAATCATTTTGTTGTATTATTTTAGGAATGCTCTTTTAAGAAAATTTGTTTCACTTCTGAATGGTTCCATTGACATTTTCTTCTAGGAGGGAGAATTAGCAAAACTTAAGAGGCTTAATATGAACTGCAAACATCCAAGCTCTGACATCTAATTCCTAAATTTTACACTGAAGAAAAAAAATACCCCAAATCATTTTGTAGCTATCATTTTCTCATCTGTTCTTTTTATTTTATAGGGAAAATATCAGTTCTTAACATACACTTTGCCTGAATGGCAGGGGAATTATAGCAGAGGGTTCTTAAAGGAGAATCAGCAGCATGGCGAAATTAAAGACTTAAAAATTTTTTGTGTAGTCACCAATCTAGCATTAACTACTTTCCTCTGCTTCCTACAGAATGAATATTTAAAAGAAAAAAAATTTAAAATCCAGGCTTAATAAATTATTATAAGAAATAATTTAATTGAAAAGAAAATGGAAACATAGAAACTTCTAAAGATTTGCTTTAGGTTATAAAGCAAAATTAATGGTAATGAAGGAATTAAAATCCATATTCCCAGAATACTGTTTTTTTCTCTTAATCTTAGTAAATAGGTTCGATGGCATTAATATACTATGGAGGGAAATGAGAACAAACAAATCTAAAGGAGAACAAGACACTTTTGAAACAATCATTTCATAGAACAGTACTGTTACTTATGGTCATTTTTTGCTTACATATCAGAAAAAAATGTTTTTTGATACTCAAAAATAATATACCTTGGGAAAACTGACAACATTTACACACACTTTTAAAAAACAAATTTAAATACCTGTTTTAGTCTTTCATTCTCTTCCATGAATTTTTTGGCAGCCTCATTAGTATTTTCTGCTTGAGTTTTGAGGACTCCTTTGTTTGACAGTTCTTTAGCCAATTGAGTAATAAGGGTAACCAGACGTCTCAACACTCTAAACAACAACAGTAACAATAAATCAAAGCATTTATTGTATAACTAATCATTAGAAACTGTGATTGAAAATAAACAGTCACTGTCAAATGATTTCCCTTTAGGTATAGGTATGGTGGAGGGAGATAATGTTTATAGAGAGGACATACGTTTGTTTGTTTCTATTTTTTTTAAATCTAAGCCTTCCTGTCAAAATCTAAGCCTATGTCTCGTTCCTTTGGAATCTTTGTTATAAGACTAGCATTTAGAGAGTAAGTTCAGCAGTACTTGTTAATTAATTATCCTCTCTTTTTAGAGGCATTTGGCCAGAAGGAAGAGAAACAATTTTAGAGAGTGTGGTAGGGACAGTAAGAAGTCATTTTTGTTTTTTTGGTCCACCACCCCCCCTTTCTCAGCATTTGCTATTTAAAGAGCATTGTGTGAGGCTGCCCAAGCTTAAAAACTGCTCATTCACATCGGTTTATGGGGTAACTTCCATTGTTAGAAATAGAAATTCGTATCTTCAAATATTCATTCAATGGGTATTTCCTTGGCTAAGTGTTAGGAATTGCTAAGTGTTGAACACTGTGCTGGGTACTGGGGACACAGAAGGAAATGAGATTAAAGTCTTTCAGGAGTTTAGTTTCTGGTTGGAGAGACAAAGAATTAAATCAGTATTTAATTGCAACCTTGAATGATACTAAAATACACACACACACACACACACACACACACAGATACATTTCGTGGAAACATACAATGGAGATCCCTACTTTGGGAGGGGGGAAGTGATGGTCACAAAAGAATTCTCTGTGAAAAGGGCTGAAGGATAAGTACAAAGTTATCCAGGAAAAGAGGGGAATGTTTTGGCAGATGTTTGTTTGTTTATTCATTCATTCATTCATTCATTCATTCATTCATTCATTCATTTATTGTAGTCACACACAGAGAGAGAGAGAGGCAGAGACACAGGCAGAGGGAGAAGCAGGCTCCATGCACCAGGAGCCCGACGTGGGACTCGTGGGACTCGATCCCGGGTCTCTAGGATCGCACCCTGGGCCAAAGGCAGGCGCTAAACTGCTGCGCCACCCAGGGATCCCTTGGCAGATGTTAAAGCAAGTGTGAAGACCCTGAAGTAGGAAGGAGTTAGCTACACAAAAGGAACTCAATAAAGATTCCTTGCAAGAATGAAGGTGTGAGCAGTGAAGCTCAGTGTGGGTAGACTGTGGTGTAAATGTCAGAGAACAGTATGAGACCAGGCTCCAGAGAGAAGCAGGGGCCACAGCATGCAAGGCCTTGTGGACCTATCAAACCTAGAAGGCATAATGACAATTATGTTATTTGGGTATATCATCTGCATTCTTTTATGAAGATGTCAGTATACCAAACAATATAGAAAAAAAATCTATAGGATAGGTAGGAAAAACAAGGAATGGAAACGTAACTCATGTTGTAAAATTGTGCTTTTTAAAAAACTTACAGCCAAAAAAATAATGAAAATCCAGAAATGTAAAGATTTCTTTGAGACCTAAAAAGTTTCATCTGTGCATGTTCATAGGCTCCAGGTCTGGTGGTTAAGCCTTTTTCAATGGCAGGTATAGAGGAGTATTTCCTTACTTCTCTCACGGCATCTATTACAGAAGAAAACATTGATTTTGGCTTTTAATAACATAAAATTATTATTAAAGTGGAAAGCAGTTTTAGAACTGAACTTTTAAAAAATGGACTTCTGATATGAGCTCTCTTTTTGTCTTTTCCTCTACTATCTCTGGGAAGGCACCATACTCAAAAGTGAGGCTCTGTAAGTGGATGCTAGTGGGCAACTTTGACTGGAACTGGATTTTTTTTTTTTTTTTTACTCTTTATCTAGGACTTATTGTCTCTTATCTCTAGCTACAGTGCAAACGATTATACTTCACTTTCTACCCCTAATACACTGAGTAAAAACCAACCTACTGACAGTAGCATATAGGTCATCTCCCATTCCAATCAATTCCAAGAGACTATTCTATTTTCCTTACTGTATAAGCATTTTATTGTATCTATCATTCCTTTAATATCATCAAATTATTATAGTAATTATTAAATACTGTTAAAGTAATATTAATACATTATTATTAAGATATAATTATTAATACTAATATTAATATGACTACTGAGATTTCAGAAATATTTGGTTACACTGAGATTTCCACTGGCAAAGGTTAAATGAGACTTGACCCACAGGGGCATATGTTCCCCCAATGGGCACGTGGATGGCATCTGCTACTGGAAACATCCAATGAGCTGCACTTTTGATGAATTTAATTATGTTAAGTCTCAGGATCTATTTCTTTCCAGTGAAAAATAGAATTCAGCTTATTCATATCTATATTTAGTGTACTCTTAAGTCACTGGATTCTTTTAGGTCCTAGATAAGTTATTTGCCTTAGGTGTCTCAAAGACCAATGGGGCAAACAAGTCAGACTGCTTCTTTTATGTAGCCATCAGCATTCTTAGCAAAGAGTTACTGCCATAGCAAAGAGATTCCAGTTAGAAAACTGAGGTCACTTAAACTATTTTACTTTATTTTTATTTTATTTAAAAAAATATTTGAGAGAGAGCATGTGCCTGACAGCTTGTGAAAGTGAGCATAAATGGGTTGGTGGGGAGGGGCAGAGTGGGATGGGGAAGCAGACTCCCCACTGAGCAGGGAGCCCAACACTGGAGGCTTGATCCCAGGACCCATGAGATCATGACCTGAGATGAAGGCATTCACCCAACCAACTGAGCCATCCAGGTGACTCTATTTTATTTCTAATAGATGCTTTATTTGGTTGTAACTTACCCTAAAATTTACCCCTTTCGAAATGAATAATTCAGCAGCTTTTGAGTATATTCACAAAGTTGTGTAACCAACCACTAATTTCTGAATATTTTCATTAACCCCTTGGAAAACCCCGTAACCATTCCACCCTTCTTCCCCCATCTCCCAACAACCACCAATCTACTTTCTCTGTCCATGGATTTGCCTATTCTGGACATTCTATACAAAAGCAATCTTTTGCTACGTGTTTTTTTGTGTGTCTGGTTTCCTTTACTTAGCATAATGTTTTCCAGGTTCATCTGTGTTGTACTTCGTAGCAGTATGCCATTGTTTTTTATGGCTGAATAATATTCCATTGTACAGATCTACCACATTTGCAAAACAAAAACAAACAAAAAATATATAGCACATTTGGTTTCTGAGGACATTTGGACTGTTTTTATCTTTTGGCTATCATGACTAATGCTGCTATGAACGTTTTTTTCTCTTTGTTGTATGTTGCCAGTCTTATATAGTATTTGGTTTAATATGTTTTGGTTTCTTCTTTTTTTTTTTTTTTAAAGGATTTTATTTATTTATTCATGAGATACAAAAAGAGAGAGAGAGAGAGAGAGAGGCAGAGACACAGGCAGAGGGAGAAGCAGGCTCCATGCAGGGATCCCAACGCGGGACTCGATCCTGGGTCTCCAGGATCACGCCCTGGGCTAAAGGCAGGTGCTGAACCGCTGAGCCACCGAGGGATCCCCTGTTTTGGTTTATTTTCAATTAGAGAGTTTACTTTTCTAGCTTCTTAAAATTTAAAGTTTTCTTTCTTTAAATTCCAGAACAGTTTAAGCAGCATTAGTAATCTCTATTTTTTGAGAGGGGTAGAATTTCTTGAAAAACTATTTGGGGGCAGCCTGGGTGGCTCAGCGGTTTGGTGCTGCCTTCAGCCTGGAGTATGATCCTGGAGACCTGGGATCGAGTCCCACGTCGGGCTCCCTGCATGGAGCCTGCTTGTCCCTCTGCCTGTGTCTCTGCCTATCTCTCTCTCTCTCTCTCTCTCTCTGTCATAAATAAATAAATAAAATCTTAAAAAAAAAAAGAACAAGTATTTGGTTTTATTCTTTCTGAAGGGGATAGCTTTAAAAAAAATTTCTGTAATTCTTCAATGGAAAACTGGTATGCTTAAATTTTCTATATTTACTAGAATTCGTCTGATAAGTTATAGTTCTCTACAAAATTCTCCATTTCATCTAGGTATTCAAATTTATTTGTATAGAGGTATACAAAAGTCTTTTTTTTTTTTAAAGATTTTATTTATTTATTCATAGAGTCAGAGAGAGAGGCAGAGACACAGGCAGAGGGAGAAGCAGGCATCATACAGAGAGCCTGATGTGGGACTCGATCCAGGGTCTCCAGGATCACGCCCTGGGCCACAGGCGGCGCTAAACCGCTGCGCCACCAGGGCTGCCCTATAAAAGTCTTTTTTATTAAAAAAAAAAAAAAGATTTTATTGGGATGCCTGGGTGGCTCAGCAGTTGAGCATCTGCCTTTGGCTCAGGACGTGATCCCGGGGTTCCGGGATTGAGTCCCTCATCGGGGTCCTGCATGCAGCCTGTTTCTCCTCCTTCTGCCTGTGTCTCTGCCTCTCTGTGTCTCTCATTAATTAATAAATAAAATCTTTAAAAAAATAAAAATAAAAAAATATTTTGAGACAAGAGCAAGCACAAGCAGGGGGAGGGACAGGGGGCGTGCAAAACCTGACACAGAGCTCTATCCCAGGACCCTGAGATTATGACCTGGGCCTAAGTCAGATGTTTAACAGACTGAGCCACAAAGGTGCTCTGGTCTTTTTAATTATCTGTAAAATGTTTTCTTGATCTTAATGGCTATTTCCTCTTTGACATTTCTCAGAATGCCACAATAATGTAGTAAGAGCATACCAACCTCTAGAAAACAACTAAAAAAAATCTCACACAAAATAGTACTTATACTATTGGTACTTATCTGGTACTTATACTACCAGAGAAACCACATAGTAGTATGAAGGATCATTACGCTTGCTATTTATATTTAGCTTCTTTGGCTTTTAAATGAAAATAATATTTCTGGATTCATTATGCAGAAATGCAGAAGATTAATCAGTAATATGAAAGAAGTTTATAAATGTAAATGATCATACAAACCTACCTGGAGAATAAAATCACCTAAAAGCAGGAAAACTATGTCTGAAAAATGAAACCAGGGCAACCATATGGGCAGGGTGTGATGTATAGTCAATTTTCTAGAAACCATCTGAAGACAGCCTATTTTTTGGATCACTTGTGTAACCTTTCAAGTTCCTAAGATGCATTTCTGCTGACACTAAACACATTTCTGGGTTTCCTGCTTCCTTTCTGTCTATTCCCACCCCTTAAAACACACACATGCACACACATTCAGTTAGTAATGGCTCTAGGAACATTAGCACCTTGTCATGATTACCTTATTAGAGAAACAACCATCAAGAAAAATGAAATAAATTTAAAAGGAAAATACAAATGGAACTTGAGTAATCTACTAGTTTTCCATAATTTCCACCATCATCATTCTGGTGGACAAGAACACTAGACTGTGTACATTCAGTATTACATTTAAATCTTCCAACACCTGGGCAGCGTGGGTGGCTCAGCGGTTTAGTGCCGCCTTCAGCCCAGGGTGTGATCCTGGAGACCCAGGATCAAGTCCTGCGTCGGGCTCTCTGCATGGAGCCTGCTTCTCCCTCTGCCTGTGTCTCTGCCTCTCTGTGTCTCTCACGAATAAATAAATACAACTTAAAAAAAAATAAATCTTTCAATACCTCAGTGAAGTAGGTGTGATTACACTATTCTGAGATGGAAACACTGAAGCTTAAAGAGTTGGTCCCTACTTGCCTTCCTTTACCATCCAAGGTCAAAGCTCCCTGCATTAACATCCATGATGTCCCTCATCTCTGAAAATTAATTACCCACTTGGCCTAGCCAGTGGTCATGGTTCTGCTTTGTGACTCCTACCCCTGGCCATAGCTTACCAACGATTGTATACCTGGCACTAGCTCGCTCACTTATCATTGGAACTGGGATTCAGAAATGGCTAATTGACCGTTGCATATATGTGGCTGGAGTAATGATATTTGGCAGTTATTTGGTGCCCACTTTCTGCCTTGAGAAAAGAGTATCAGGTTCCAGGAGAGATAAGGAAGAATGAAGTAGACCTATGGAGTAATTCAAGGATGAGAAAACAACACTTCAGTTCCTAGGAATAGTCCCTCCCTGGAATTTGGCTTCCTTCCTTCCCTGAGCTGCTCTAAAACAATTCTGTATTTTATTATAAGTTCCCCTTTCTTGCTCAAGTGAACTTCAGTTGGTTTCTGATATATGTAACCAAAAAAACTTTGGACTACTGTTTTCCTTCTTTCTTTGGATTTGTGTCAGTTTTTCAGTAGAAAGTCTTGTGATAATTTTAGAGTTAAAAGATCACAATATTACAGGGGTGCCTGGCTGGCTCAGTCAGTAGTAGTAGTAGTAGTGACTCTTCATCTTGGGGTCACGAGTCTGAGCCCCACGTTGGGTGTAGTACAGATTACTTCAAAAAAAAAATTAAAAAAAAAAAAAGAGATCACCATAGTTTAGCCAGTAGGAGCTACAGAAATGTTTGCCTTTCCTTTTTCCAGTCCAGTTTTCTCCCTTTGTTTTGCAAATGGGTAAACCAAACTCAAAAGGCATTTAGTTTAGCTGGTGGCAGAGTTGGGACTCATTTTTCTTATTGTGATTAACTTGGTTAGTGTTACTTCTTATGGCTGGAGATATACTTGATAACAATAGCATACCACAAGACAAATATTGACATTTTGATATGAGGCATGAACACATTCACATCCTGACACAATCATACCTTCCTCATACACCTTCTTGCACCAGCTGTTCCCAGTTTTATAAAAAGAAATTCATTTCAGAGGCTGGTGGTATGGAATATGGGCAACATTTTCTCATAAAACAGTGGCATATATGGTACTTATCCCAGGATGGCATCAACTTAGTTAATTAAAAACCCAGTGAATTCATTAATAAAAACATCATAGAGTTAAGCCTAATGAAAAGGGAAATCCAGTACTTACCTAGAAATAGAACAATCAATAGGATTATAATAGTAAGGAAAGCCTTGTTCCAGAAAGTTGCAATTTTACCCCAGACATTAAATGAAAAAATCTTCTGCCATCTGTAAAATAATACAATTACATTAGCTGTAAAAAAATCAAAAGATTTTGAAATGCATTGCAAATATCCAATTAACATTCTGGTTAAGTGAATGAAAAAAAATTACAGAAATTTAATTTTTATGTCATATCAGAGAAATGGTAATTTTCTGATATGACATAATATCTCATGAAATCAAGAACAACTCTTCCAAGTTTAGTGATAATTCTGATATTATCTTCTGTCTGTTGGCTTAAACATTCTATAGCAGAAATCACTTTTAAAGTAAATACGTGTGAATTCTTATAATATGTTATATTGCTGATAGAAGTTCTCACTTTATATCTTTTTGCTAATCTGTAATAACACAGAAATAACAAAGACTTCTACTGGCCTAATAATCAGCAACATTTCAGGTGTAGGGGGTCTAACTGTGCACTATTTATTTTTACATAACACACCTCTAACATTTACCCCAAGTAAAATAATTTTTCCATCTTTACCGCAGATAAATATCATTGGGACATTACATACATAAAGTACAAAGATCTTAAATAGATTGATGAATTTTTATGTATGTATATACTCGTAATTGCCATTCATATCAAAGTGTGAACATAGAGGAAACGAAATGGGGAAAAAGACAGTTTGGACAGATTAAGGAGTATAAAGACACAGAGGTAAGAAAGCATGGATTATAAATGACAAAGAATGACAAAGCAATCCACCATACAATTGGAAAGGTAACAAACTTTGTACAATGGCATTTCATTTTATTTTACTTATTTTTTTAGAGAGCATGTGCATGTGAGCTGGAGGGGCAGATGGAGGAGACAATCTCAAGTAGGATCCATGCCCAGGCTCAATCTAAACACCCTGAGATCCTGGCCTGAGCCGAAATGAAGGGTTGGAGTGAGCCACCAGGCGCCCCAGTACAAGGGCATTTTAAATGAATAACAGATTTATGGAGTCCAAAGCACCTAAATTAACTTCAAACACAACTTCAAAAGAAAAGTTTTACTTTAAGATTGTGACAAATTATTAAGCTTGGAAAACAACCCCAAGAAATAACTTGAAGTTGGTGAGGAGAGGGAGATTGATGTAGATGAATGAGGTTCTTTTGCCTCTATGCTTCCAATTCCAGAGATGCTATTCAATTTTTTCATTACAAAAATTTTGTGTTTTTAGATAGAAAACATAAGTGGTAATACCTTCATCTAAGTCCCAATGCAAATTCACATGTCAAGGGTCAGTGTAAAAGGGAACACAAAAGAGACTTCCTACAGGGAACAACTAGCAGTTTCTAGTAATACTCAGTTCAAAGGAAGAAATGATAATAGTTGTTATATTGAGTCATTTCTATACTACAGTTCCAAGCACTTTTACATATTTTAGCTCATTTAATTACCACAACCACTGTATGAGGTGGGTACTAGTATTACTTCTATTTTACAAATGGGGAAAACGGCCAGAGATGGTAAATAATTTGCCCAAGGTCATGCAGAGTTAGGACATACATCCAGGCAGCCTGACTTCTAACTATGCATCTTTACATTATTGGATTATATGAATAAATAATGGCCAAATTAAATAAAGATTGAAGCCTTTTCTTTGACGAGTATAGTAATACATAGTATAAAAGATAAAAAGATGTGGATATAAACATAAGGACATATTTTAAATGAACTGTGTGCATATATCCCATATTTTCTTATGTGTATTCGTACATGAGCATGTATATAATCGGGGTACTTATATACACATCTATTAAAGAGCTTCGTGAATTGTATAGTGAAAAATTATATTTGGCAGGAAGAAAAAGATCCAAATTCTACAAAATATATATACATATTTGCAAATTCTTAAGCCTTATTTATAAATCAGATGTTTATAAATAACATCTTTCCTTCTCTTGAATATAGGAGTCTCTTGTTGCAACTACTATCAGAAAGCAAACAGGGTATTATACAAATTTGAAACAAATGAACAGGATGCTCGTTAGAGTAGAAAAAGCACTGGGCTCAAAGCCAGTTACCTGTCTGGAGTCTGCCATGGATGAGCTAGATGACCTTAGACTATTTTCCCTATTGAATGAGTGGGTTGGATAAAATGATCTCTAATGCTCCTTGCAGTATGATTCAATTTTTTTTTTTTCCAGTAAGGAAGAAAAAAGTGATGGCACAGCTGTCAGACAAGGATAGAAATGAGTAGTAATCTAGGCAGGTTAAGAAGCAAGTTCAGAGATTAAAGATCGTCTGGACCCTGAGCCAGAGTAAAAACTTTCATGGAGTCTCTTCCAGTCATGGGATCTCATTTATGAGAAATTTTCTCTTACGCCATGAGCATAATAAACAAAGGTGTTGCAAAAGTTTTATTAAAAGTGTATTTCACCATTCCTACTATCAACTTTCTAGATCTAAAACTGAACTCCCCAGAAATGGCAGCTACACTTGTGGTGAGCAGAGCATAACTACAGAGAAGGTGAATCAGGAACTTATACATCTGAAACTCATGCAACATCGTGTGTCCACTATACTAACCACCCGCCCCACCCCCCACGGCCCCCATAGGAGGATAGTACAGGGGGGAAGTGAGCCAATGCTTCAATGTAAATACTGAGGACTGTACTTTAAGACCTTTGAAAGGGCAGCCCGGGGGGCTCAGAGGATTGGTGCTGCCTTCAGCCCAGGGCCTGACCCTGGAGACCCAGAATCGAGTCCCACGTTGGGCTCCCTGCATGGAGCCTGCTTCTCCCTCTGCCTGTGTCTCTGCCTCTCTATGTCTATCATAAATAAATAAAATTAAAAAAAAAAAAAACAAAAAAACCCCAAAACTTTGAAGGCCTTTACTAAGGAATTAATGGTGATGTATGGTTGTGGTGCTGAGCACTTTCCATACTCAGCGTTTTCAGCATATATTCACTGTGTGTGGGGGAGGGGGGAGGGGCATTAATTAGTTAAATTCGTAAAATCAAAATTAATCAATCAGTGAAATTGGCATTAGACATTAATGCAACCATCTCTGGGTTACATAAGAACAACACTGAGAATAATTTACTTGGCTTCACTTTCTACATTGTTGTTCCACTGCCTCAGTGAGACATTTCTGCACCGGGGCGTGCGGCTAACATCCTTTATCCATTTCCCCTTTTGTTAGTTTCCTTTTCCAATTCCGGGTAATCAACACGTCTGATGACAACAGATAGTAAAAGCAGAACCAAAAAGAAAGAAAGAAAGAAAGAAAAAAAAAAAAAAAAAGGAGAACCACTGCTTTACCGTCTCTGTAACCAACAGAACCCAGAAGACCTGGGGCCTCCTTCCAGGAGGGAGGGGAAAGCACGTCACGTTAATGCGTTTGTACGTATAATAGGAAGTCTCATATCCAGTGATACTTTAGTAGTAGTGGACAGTCCCCGAAATCTGTGAGTTAGTTCCCCGAGCACCTTCACACGCGCGGCGTCCGGAACTCCGGGGCGCCGCGGGGCACCGGCCAGGGGGCAGCGCTCGCGGGCACGCACACCACCCCGAGCCACGGGGGGGTTGCCTACCTCTGAGGAGGAATAAAAGGCAGACAGAAGATCAAAATAAGTCCTATTTCAGCATAAAGAAAGGCTGCGACTGCCACCCACTGCAGTGTCATTTCTTTCTCTTCACACCTAAGTAAAGAAACACTTAGTTTACTTTGCCGCCGCGTGAGAACCGGGGCTGGGCGGGGGCCCGGGGGACGAGCCCGCCCGCCCGCGGCCGCCGGCCCCGCCCCTCCCCGCCCCTCCCCGCCCCTCCCCTCTCCCCCTCTCCTCTCCTCTCCCCTCCGCGGGGACCCGGCCGAGCCGACCCGGCGGCCTGCGCGTCGCGGCCCGCGAGCTCCCGCCGCCCTGGCGCCGCCGGCCCCTAACGCCCCCCCGCGGCCGCCCGCGCCCAGGGGCCCCCGCTCCGCGAACGCGCCGCGGCTCCGGCCGGCGCCCGAGGCCCAACGGCGCAGGGAGCGGCGCGACCCCGCGACCCCGCGCGGCCCGGAGCCCTCCCCGCCGCGAGGCCGTGGCTCCCGGCGCCCCGCCGGCCTTACCCCGCCTGCCGCCCGCCTGGCTCCCGGCGCAGCTCCGCGCGGCCGACGCGCGGGACGTCAGACGCCGCGGCGGGGGGGGGGCGGGGGGAGGGGGGCAAGGATGCAGCGGGGAGGGGGGCGGGGGGTGCGGGGGGAGGCGGCGGGGGGGGCGGGGGGCGGGGGAGGCGGGCAGGTGCGGCAAGGGCGCGCCCCGCCCCCGCCCCCGCCGGCCCCGCCCCCGCCCCCGCCGGCCCCGCCGCCAGCCCGGAACCGCGGGGCCCGCGCCCGCCGAGGTGGCCGGCGGCTGCGGGGACTGGCCGCAGTTACTTCCTAGCTGTGGGCCCGGAGGGCGGCTCGGAGTCCCGGTGCTGGGGGCCCGCGGCCGACCGCTCCGCGGAGCCGACCTTAATTTCTGAGCGCGGGTGGTGCGGGTGGGAGGGGCGCGGGTCCTGGCCGTCCCTGCCCGGCCTTCTGGGGTGTTAGCGGCCCCGGTCCGAGCCGCGCTAGACTTCAACGGCAGGGCCACGAGGCAGGGGCGCAGCGTTCTGTCCTGGGGCCGCGGAGGCTTATGCAGCTTCAAGACCTATTTTCCTGCTCTTGTCCGCAGGCTGGGCAGAGAGTTCTCCCTAGGGAGGCGTTTAGGGACGGAGAGGGAGCAAACCACGGGTGGGCGCATTCCTTCAGTTACTATTGTCCAGGTTGTCGAATTGCGTGAATATACTTGATTATTGTTTCATTATTGACAAGGTCTCAGAAATACAAATGACAGTATTATCCTTCTGGGCAGAATTATTTTGGGAATATTAAATAATGTAAGTAAAGATATGATTATAGAATAATAAAAATACATTTAACTGGGTGCTTTTTCTTATCATCACAGATATACTTGATCACACAGAAAAGAGAGGAAAAAGACTATGAATTAACTATGAAGGGTTTTTTTTTTTTTTTTTTAAAGATTTTATTTATTTGAGAGAAAGAGCAAGCCCCAGAGAGAGCATGAGTGGGGGGCAGGGGAGAGGAAGAAGCAGGCTCTCCGCTGATCAGGGAACTGGATATGGGGCTCCATCCTAGGACTCTGGGATCAGGACCTGAGCGGAAGGCAGATTTTTAACCCACTGAGCTACCCAGGCTTGAATTAAGCAGTTTTAGATAACCATTTCCTTATAAAGTTTTCATGTTGGTAATATAGGCCAGTACCTTGATTATGGAACTTTTAATAACTGAGATACTGAATTCTTGCAGTGGCACATTCACCAACAACAAAATTCTCTTAGCAACACTCCCAGACCATGAAACTATAAAATTAAAATTATCAAAAAAATTATTATCAATTGCTGGGAAGTGTAAAAATAACATCATAAATAAATAAATCACGGGGATCCCTGGGTAGCTCAGCGGTTTAGCGCTTGCCTTTGGCCCAGGGCGCGATCCTGGAGTCCCGGGATCCAGTCCCACGCCCGGCTCCTTGCATGGAGCCTGCTTCTTGGAGCCTGCTTCTCCCTCTGCCTGTGTCTCTGCCTCTCTCTCTCTCTCCGTCTCTCATGAATAAATAAATAAAATCTTCAAAAAATAAATCACTAAAAACAGCATATGAAAATTAGGTTTTTAAATTAAAATTCTCGGGATCCCTGGGTGGCGCAGTGGTTTAGCGCCTGCCTTTGGCCCAGGGCGCGATCCTGGAGACCCGGGATCGAATCCCACGTCGGGCTCCCGGTGCATGGAGCCTGCTTCTCCCTCTGCCTATGTCTCTGCCTCTCTCTCTCTCTATCATAAATAAATAAAAATTTAAAAAAAAGATTTAAATTAAAATTCTCTAAGAAATATTTCAAATATATAATCAACTCCAGATTGGCTACCAAATTTTTTATATATAAAATGTGGGAGACTAAAATTAATTTTTGTCATTTTAGGTACAAGTGTATTTATCAAGCAAGATCTCAATCTTCTAAGGATCTAGAAGACTTGAAATGTAACAAAGTTAACATCATTTAGAGTTTCATGGATCTTATTAATTTTAAATCAGAAAACATCACAGATATTTAAACTCATACAATTTAAAACAATTTAAATAAGTTACATAGAATTTAAAACACATACCTGGAAGTGTCATTCATGAATTAGGAAGTACCAGTTTGATTTTCCAATTTGAATTTTTAATCTAAGCCCTGAAAGTAACTTTATACAGAATTCTCGTTCCTTTTCATTTTATGTAGAAGTTGGCATTTGTTCTGTCACTTTGCACTTATTTTCATTCAAACATACTTCATGTTGACTTATAAATACTATTAGACTCATACTTTTAGTATTAAAATAAAAAATTTATTTAAAAATGTTAAAAACACAATTCCTTTAGGAAATTTTTTTTTTTTTTAAATCCATAATAGATTTCAGAACAACAGTTTGTCAATGTTTGGTAGAGTGACCAGGATGTTTGCTCTACCTGGGGTCTTCTTTACAACTAAATTTTGTTTCCATCCTATAGATGTACTGAATCAGAATCTCTAAGGATGGGGTCTAGGACTAACTTTTTAAAATGTTCTCAGGGCACTGTTTTTATGCTTATGGGGGAGAGACACTGACTTAAAGTAAAAACCAAAATGTGACCTTGGGTGGTTTCACTGTAGATATAAAGTGAAGTAAATATTAAAATACTTTAGGAAGTCCAGTCAAATCCCATAATGGTCTGTAAGGTAATCTAAAACTGCTGATGTGCTTGACAAAGCATTAAACACTCTTTTTTCCTGCCTTGAAGTTATTTTTTCCATCATGTACATTAAATGTTGATGGAAACACATATAAGGAGTTCCAAGTTCAAGAGCAATGTCAATCCAGTCCCAGATGCACTGCAGCGGGGTTTCGTCATATCCAGCAAACATGGCAGGGTTTGCTAAGAGTCCTCTTGCAACCATCACACCTATAAAATAAAGCATATCACATTTGTTCACACATTAAGAACTCACAGGTTATGAGGTCACACTTGAAAAAACTGACAATATTGAAAAATAAGTAGTATTATAAGGTTTCACAATACCCACATATTAGTATAACTCAATTACAAAACAATTTGCTACATTTGTAAACTAAGAATTTAAATGTACTTACAAGAATTAAAAAAATTTTTAAGATTTCTACATTAAACAATTAGTCTCTGGGGATTTTTTTAACGGTTAATCCAGACTGTCATAAATTGGGTTTGCTTAAAGTTAAGTTTATCCACATTGTCCCATCTAGCAATAGTTACCACAGATTTTGGTGTATCAATAATCCAAGGGAGTAATAAAACCACAGGAGTATGTAGCTCCTTTGACTTCTAGGACCACTTTGTGTTCACTAATTCTCATCTCTATTTCACAAATAGGCTATCTGGAAGATAGCCTTCTTAACTGGTCATTCACTGGATATGATGGTGGCAGAAAGTAACTGACTTTAATTTATCCCGATTAAAACAATATACTGCCTATATGTAAAAGAGTTAACATAATTTTAATGAACTGTTTAGCTTAAATCAGTACAACAGAAAAATATGGCTCCATTTTAGAGATAAATAATGAAAAATCACTTTAACATCACTCTCCTATTCCCATTTTTTTTTTTTTGCCTAATTAAAAGACAAACTCAAGTACTTATTTCTTACCATCTGTCCCAGTAATATGCCACACATTTTCTGCTTCTTTCAAGCTTCTGATGTCTCCGTTAGCAATTACAGGTATAGACATGTTTTCCTTAATTATTTTAATGGCCTCATAGTGAACTGGCTGATGTCTTTCTTCAACAGTTCTTCCATGGACTGTAATCCAAGAAACTCCTGTTGCCTCAGCCTTTCGACAAAGATCTATAGTTCTTGTAAGGTCATCATGGATCCTGTCATTTCAAAATTACATCAGTCTATTCACCACATGCAACTTCTAATGCTAAAATTAATAGCTAAATAAAATAATATTTCATCTGATACATTATTCAGTTAGCTTTGCTATATTATCACTATATGCCACTATAAGAAAGGTTTTGTTGAGATCAGTTCCCATTTAACACTTTAAATTTAGCTATTTCACTAATGGCAAAAATAGGATGACAAATTTTACCTAATGCTTCACCCTTTTGGCTTTGATAACTGAAAAACTCATCCAAGTACTGTCATAGAGGGATGGAAAAATGGTATCCTAATACCTGCTATGTATCCCCCAATCCATGAGTAGGCTAATAAATTATGAAATGTGTTTTTAACCTGTCACCCAAAAACCTCTTCCAGGTTTATTTTCTTTTCATTGTGAAATTTTATTACAAATATTACTCTACTCTTGGTACCAGGAATGTTTCTCATTATTTTTATTATTATTTTAAAGTAGACTCCAGACCCAGCATGGAGCCCAATGTGAGGCTTGAACTCATGATTCTGAGATCAAGACCTGAGCTGCCATCAAGAGTTAGAAGCTTAAATGACTGAGCCACCCAGGTGCCCCTTGCAGCATTATTAATTAAGCAGTCCATGAAAAAAACTGAGGGTTTCTTTTGAGGGAAAGTTTTTAATAATAAAGGGATGTTTTAATTTCTATTAAAAAATACAAAAATGAAGTTGTTCTGTTATTTTTATAAATAAAAATTATATGGTACACATTTACTAAATGTCTTGTTTTAACATTTCTATATACTAGCTACCAATTTATTAAAGATGGATACTTCCACACTCTTAGACTAAAGGAATATTATTTTATTTCCTAAGTAATGGAAAGTTGTGTCAGTAGATTAAAATATTTTCTTTACCTTATTTTAATAGATATTGAAAATCTGGGATTTTCCACTTGATTTCTTACTTGTTTCACCATATCTTGAACAAGCTCTGGCTTGTTTATTAAGCAAGCTCCATAACCTTCTGCCATTGCCCACCTTTATAAAGCAGGCACAACAAGAAATGAATTGTAATTAGTCAGAATAGAAGATACAATTTTAAAAGCTCTGTAAGTGCATCTATTTCTCTGTCTTAGCGACCTGGAATGGAATCAGACTTTTATAATTCACAGATCCAACATTTTAATGTGGATCAATATGAGATAAGGAAAATATGTTCCCAGATCAAAAAGTACTTAGGAGAAATGGCTTTCATCGGCAAGTGAGAAAATTAAATTAAAATTCATTCAACCAAAACAGACTTAGGTATTTGTAGTTAATTGCAATTACTTCAGATTTTTAAAATTCCAAATTTGATGTTTATTGTACATAACAAGACGTTTTATTAATCTTAATAGTAGAAAGATATTTTTGGCTTACAGCATTCCAAGACCACTAAACAGCTTATTTAACTCTCCTAATGAGTATACAAATATGTCTAATCTGTTTGGATTATGATGTACTTAAAACCTTGATTTTATTCTTTGGACACATTTTTTTATTATTGACAGATAATCTAACACAATGCTAGGAAGGTAGGGATATTATTATCAAATTAAGCATCCTATCAATACCCAGTTACTTATTTTTTTTTTAATTTTTTTAAATTTATTTACGATAGTCATACAGAGAGAGAGAGAGGCAGAGACACAGGCAGAGGGAGAAGCAGGCTCCATGCACCGGGAGCCCGACGCGGGACTCGATCCTGGGTCTCCAGGATCGCGCCCTGGGCCAAAGGCAGGCGCCAAACCGCTGCGCCACCCAGGGATCCCTACTTATTATTTTTTTAATACCCATTTACTTAGACTCAACCAAGTAACTGTGGTACAAAGAAAGGGTAACTATAAGGAGGTATTCTTACAGAGAAAATTAGGAGAAAACAAGTGTCAATTTCTCAAATCATAGAATCACAGTTTCTTATCTGACATGGCAGTAAAAATTCATTTTAGGGACTGCTATAAATGTTTAAGTCTTCCATAACCACTTATGGATGAGGATAAAGGCAGATCCACATATAAAAAAATGTGGCAAAGTGAGACAAAACACTTATCAAGTGATCTATGGATTGTTTTAGCCATCAGAAAATACCTTTGCATATGTTTCCCTACATAATATTTCCTTCTTTTTTCCTGCTTCTTATTTGGAGCCCAAGTGCTTTAACTCTATTTTCTTTACTTTTTAATTCTTGGAAAACTGGAGAAATAGTTTACCATGTTCACATAGTTTTTTCTAATTTTTCTGAAAATTCTTCCAACTTCTTTGAGCTTTACCTCTGAGGGCAACCGCAGTTAATGTCTATTCCATTCGCATAAGGACAGACAATACGAGCAGCATCAGATAAAAGTCTCGCATCGTTAGCAGCAAACTGAACAATCAATGGGCAATCACCTGATAAAATGAATAGCTCAACATTAAAATTCATAGAAACACACACACACACCATGAAACTCTTCATGTTTGTACAGGATAATGATTACTTTCAGCCTAATCAGTATCTATTTAAACAAGGTAGCATTAAACTAATCTTAAATATTTAAAATTAAAAGTAATTTACATTTAGTACAAACAATATGAAATTTGATAAAATGAAAACTATAACACTCTTGATGAACAGATCTCATTTTCAAAGATGATAATTAGTTTATTGTATTCCAGAACAATTTTATGTATACCTGTAAAATTTAAACAAACGTGAACATTTTATGTACATTTCTATGCCTACTGCTTTTTCCCCCTTGATATATCTGGGAGCTGTACTCCAATGTATTTTCTTTTTACTAGTGTATTCTTTTGAATGGATGGACCATGCAGTGTACTTTTAGACTTTTTTTGGGTGGCTTTTGCAAACAATGCTGCGATGAGAATACTATTACTCACATGCTCCTCTGAGTATATTCATAGGGTAAATTCCCAGGAATGTAACTGCTGGATGGGCATCTAACTAACATTTTGATAGACATCACAGTTTTCTTTCAAAAGAAAGAAAGATGACAGTTTTTGTTTCCTCACAACTTTTTCAACATTGTATATCCAATAGAGTGTATTTTTATTTGTGGGTTTGCTCTCCATATTCTCTGTCCACTTTTCTATGTGTTACTCTTCTTTTAATTGTTCTTTATGTTCTTATTATTTTTTAAAATTTTCTTATAAAAGAGCTTTATAAAAATTAGCTCTGCTATCTATTGTAAACATACACATACACACACACATATATTTTATATATTTTATTTATTTGAAAGAGATAGAGAAAGGGAGAGCACTAGTGGGAAGAGGAGCAGAGGGACAAACAGACTCCCCACTGAGCTGGGAGCCCCACTCAGGGCTCAATCCCAGGAGCCTGGGATCATGACCTGAGCCCAAGTCAGGCGCTTAACGGACTGAGCCACCCAGGTGCTCCTCTATTGTAAATTATAAATATTTTATAACTATAAATATTTTCTCCAGGTTTTGGTTTGTCTTTGAGTACATGTGTGCTCCTTTCTTACACATAAATTTAAGTTTTAATATAGCAAATGTGTCAGATATTTCTTAAGTTTTAACGGACATATTTTTCTCATCTTTCTTTGGGTGTTATAAATTCTGGACAGATGTATTTTAATTTTCCTAAAGTTCTTTTGAGGACCATCTATATGAGATACACTGGGTGTTTGCCAAAATGCAGATTTCTGAGCATCGTCCTACTTCCACTGATTCAGAAATTTTTTTTCTTTTTAATTTATTTTTACTTATTTTTTTGATTCAAAATTTCTATGGCGATCCACTGATTTATAGGACTAACATGAGATAGGAGAATATGCTTTTCCCTGAGGGTGTAAAATGTTTTTTCCCATTATAACTCAGGGAGTTACAGAATTTCAATTTAATAACCATTTATTGGTCTAATATATTTTCAACACAGGGCTAGAAGCTAAGGGTACGAATCGGTAAGAGGTTAATTCCAGACTTCAAGTAGCACATAGTCTAGCAGACAGGCATACAAAGAGGAAATTATAATACAGCAGGATTAAGGCCAGTGAAAACCTTGTGAGCGAGGACAATAGTGGAGGGCAATTAGGCAAAGTCCCCGGCCACAAACTTTGAGAGCTGGATTAAGAAGCATGTGGTATCATTTGCCAGAGAGACATGGATCTGGGGTGTAGGCATGGCTGAGGAAAGGACATTCCAGGTAGAGAAGTATGGGAGGACGGGGCATGTTCAGGGACTTAAACAAATTAGTATTGCTACAGAATAAAGTTGCTGGGGCGGAGATGCCTGGGTAGCTCAGTTGATTAGGCCTCTGACTCTTGGTTTTAGCTCAGGTCATCTCATGGGTCATGGGATGGAGCCTCGTGACAGGCTCTATGCCCAGCAGGAAGTCTGCTTGAAAGATTCTTTCCCTCTGCCCCCTCACCCACTCATATGTGCGAGTACACTTTCTTTCTCTCTCAAAATAAATAAATAAATCTTAAAAAAAAGGAATAAAGCTGGTTGGCTATGGAGAGAAACTAATGGAAGATAAAGCTGCAAAAAATATATTCAGAGGCTGGATCATGAGGAATGTCATATATTATTCACAGGTACCGGGATTTTTTTTTTTTTTAAAGTAATCTCTTCACCTAACCTGGGGCTCGAACTTTCCACCCTGAGGTCAAGTGTCACATGGTTTACTGACTGAGCCAGCCACGCACAGTGACAGGTACTGGAATTTTACTCTTTAGGCCACTGGTTCTCAATCTTTAGCAAGCTCAGAATCTCCTGGAGGGCTTTTAAAAACAGATTGCTGGACCATATACCCAGAGTTTTTGATTCAGTGGGCCTGCGGCAGAGCTGGAAAATTGCCATTTAGAAAAAGTTTCTAGATGATGCTGATGCTGCTGGTCTGGCTATCATCCCTTGAGAACCACTGCTTTAGGCCATGAACTGTCCAAGAAGGATTTGAGGCAGTGAAGAGATGTGATCAAATTTACATTTAGAAAGGTTCCTTTGGGCTATTTGTAGGATGGTTTGGAATGGGGCAAGACTGGAAGCAGTGAGATAAGAACCTAATAGCTCAGGTGAGAGGATGGGGCCCCAAGGAAGGCTGACCTCACACTTAGATACATCATCCAGAGTTTACATGGCACTCAATAAAAACATGTTAAAAACTTATTACAAACATAAAGAACTAAAATATTTAAAAATAAAATCTCTGAATTGTGTTGTTTAGACAGTTTTTTGTTTTTTGTTTTTAAGTTTTACAAAGTCAGCAAACTCTGGGTTTCACATACCTTGGTTTGTAGTAAATTCACTGTCTCGGGCTTTTATTGATCTGACAAAATCAGCAGCAACTATCATTGGTGTATAGCACAGATCACAACCATATTTTCTTACTAATGTTCTAAAAGCCAACCTGTGAACATATAAAACTTTAATTAGGCATTTTAGAAAACATCACAATCATATGTACTTCCAAGTTTAATTGTTAAATATTTATTAGAGGAAAGTCCTGCCTTTGAGAGGATAGAGTAGACATACTTTTCCCTATTCCGGCTGTTAAAAAAAGAAAAAAACAAGCCCAAATTAGAGTCATTTGCCACCTCCATGCCTGCAAACCAAGACTTAATTACAGTTTCCCAGGAATGTGACCTTTTAAAGTCAATCTGAAATTTCTTGAACAGCAATAATAAGGTAACCTGCAGGATAAAAAATTTCCTGTTGTTCCTGTCCCCAACAAAAGATATCCTGGCCTGAACCAATCTTCCTTTTCTTTTGCTAATAACTTCTTGCTCTACCTTTCTTCCTATAAAAACCTCCCATTTTGTACAAATCCATGGAACATCTCTTTACTTGCTAGGTGGGATACTGTCTGATTCTGAATTGCCTAATAAGGCCAGTGAGATCTTCAAATTTACTCAGTTGAATTTTTTTTTTAACATTGGTGACTATACTATATATAAAACAAACATAAGAAAACTCTGAAAGTTGGAGACAAGAAAACAGAAAGGCTAGTGACCTTGGGATATGAGGAACAACAGTGGTGAGTTTTTGCCTGGATTTCCTTTTTGCCTCAAATATCCCAGATTTGGTCCTAAAGAAGCTGGCAACCCACAAATACCAATGAGTGAGACAAAAAGAGCCCCAACAAAAGTCAGCTCTCTCTGACCAAGTACTAGGAAAAGGGAAGTCTAGTAAGACAGAACAATTACAAACCAAACACCAGAGACAAAACTGTGGCCCCCCCCTCCAGAAGCATGTGTTGAGTGGGGAGCTTAGACTTCCACCTTTCCAAGGCTATAACAAACTTTTCTAACACACCTTCATAGTGGCGTCAGAGAAGGCCAGGTAGGGAACTGGGACTTTAAAACTTGCTGGCCAGTAACTTTAATACTTTCTCTCTTTCCACTGTTAAATAGTATCAGAGTATGCTTGGTGAAAGGCTAGGACTTTTAATATAGTCCAGCAGCTACCAGGCCATCCCCTTCATGGCTTGCCCCCAGGTTAGCAGTAACGAGGAGCCATTCCCTCTGCACCCAGAGTGACAAAGGAGACCAAATAAGAAATCAGGACTTTTACTTTCACCTCCTAGTAGTGGGGTAGTGCTTTCTCATTTCTCTCCTGCTATAGTGATGGCAGAAAAAAAAAAGTTAAAACAGAAGGTTCAAAATTCAGAATCAATCAATAGAATCTACTCTATTAAAAAGCTAAAAGAAACATTATGTAATTGTATCAATCAATATAGAAAAAGCATTTGACAAAATAATACTCATTCATGATTAAAAAAACCAAAAACTCAAGAAAATAGGAAGAGGGAAAACTTTCTCCACTTGATAAAGAGCATCTGCAAAAAACTTCTATAGCTAATATACGTAAAGATGAAAAACAGAACATATTTCTTTTAGATCAAGGACAAAGCAAAGATGCTTGCTCTCATCATTCTTATTTAACCTACTGCTGGAACTTCTAGTCAGTGTATGAAAAAGAAATAAAAGGCATATGATGGAAAGGAAGAAATAAAACTATCCCTATATGTAGATGAGATGATCACATAAATAATTCCAAGGAATTTATTTTAAAAATCCTTCAATAAGGAAGTTCAGTAAGTTTACAGGATACAAAATTAACATAAAAAATCAATTTTATTTCTGTATATAACTGTGAATACATGGACACTGAAATTAATAGTATAATATCATTTACAATCGCTCCAAAAAAAGAGAAAAATACTCAGGTGTAAGTCTTCAAAACATGTATAGCACTTAATATGCTGAAAGCTATACACAATGATGATGAAAAAAATCAAAGATCTAAATAAATGGGAAAAACATACTATCTATGTTCATGAGTTGGGAGACCCAACATAGAAAGGAATTAAATTCTCCCCAAATTGATATACATATTTAATACAATTCTTCTGGAAATTCCAGCAAGATATTTTGTAGATAAAGACAAAATCATATTACAAATTATTTAGAAGGGCAAAGGAACTAGAATAGCTAAAACAATATTGAGAAAGAAAGATAAAGAAAAAAAAGAAAAATAAAGCTTGAGGAATTAGTCTACCTAATTTAATTAAATACTTATTATATAGCTATCAGGATTGTGTAGTAATCAGGATTGTGTAGTACTGGTTGGGAGATAGACGCATAGCTCAACAGAACAGGACAGGGAATGCAGATAAAGAGCTACATAAACATGTCCAAATGATTTTTGAGAATGATGCAAAAGAAATTCCATGCTGGAAAGAGAGTCTTCAACAAATGGTGCTGGAGTAATTAGACATCCACAGGCAGAACCAAACCAAACCGAAATAAAACACCCCTCAACTCTAAACCTCACATTTATACAAAGATGAACTCAAAATTGATTATGGACTTAGATGTAAAACAAAAAAATAAGACTTTTTGAGGAAAAAAAAGGAGAAAAACTTCAGGATTACGAGCTACACAAAGTTTTCTTAAACTTGACATCAAAAGCACAATTTACAAAAGGAAAACTTGGTAAATTAGACTTTATCATTAAATAAAAAGGTTTTGCTCTGCAAAGACCCTGTTAAGAAGATGAAAAAATATGCTACATACTGGGAGAATATATTTGCAAATCACATATCTGACAAAGGAATAGTATCTAGAATATATAGAGAACTTTCAAAATTCAGTAATAAAGAAAAACTCAACAACAACAAAAACCTGATTCAAAAATGGGCAAAGGGTTTGAGTAGACATTTCCTCAAAGATATAAACACAGCTAATAAGCACAATGAGATACCACTTTACATTCACTAGGATGACTATGGAAAAAACAAACAATACAGTAAGTATTGGTGAGGGTGGTGAGGAATTGGAACTCTTGTAATACTGCTTGCTGGTGGGAATATAAAAATGGAAAACAATATGGACATTCCTCAAAAAAATTAAAAATAGAATTGTCATATGATCTAACACTTGCTGCTGGGCATATATCCCAAAGAACTGAAAGACATTTATGTATCCATATTCATAGCAGTATTACTTGAAATAGCTAAAATGTAGAAGCAACCCAAGCATCCATAAATCAATAAATAAAATGGAGTACATACATACAAACGGAATATCATTCAGCCTTTAAAATAAAGGAAATTCTGATACATGCTATGACATGGATGAACCCTGAGGCTATAATGCTAAGTGAAATAAGTCAGTCTCAAAAAAGCAACTATTATATAATTTCACTTATATGAATACCTAGAGTAGTCAAGTTCAAAGAGTGAGAAAGTAGAATGATGGTTGACAGGAATGGGGGGCGGTGGTGGTGGAATGGGGAGCTATTGTTTAATAGGTGTAGAGTTTCAGTTTTGTAAAACAAAGAGTTTTAGAGATTGGCTGTATAACAATGTGAATGCACTTAACATTATTGAACTGTACACTGCAAATGCTTAAAATGTCTAAGCTATATTTTACCACAATTGAAAAAAATTTAAAAACCAACTCAATAGTAAAAAAAGCAAATAATTTAATTAGAATATTGGCAACAGACATAAAGAAATATTTTTCCAACAATATACAGGGGACAAATAAACATATGAAAACATTTCCAACATCGCTAGCTATAAAGGAAATGGATATTAAAATCATGAGATATCTCTACACACCTATCAGATGGCTAAAACTAAAAAAATGACATTACACATTGATGATGATGAAGAGAAACTAGATCCCTCATATTCTGTTGGTAAAAGTGTGAAACAGTACAGACACTCTGGAAAATTTGGCAGTTTCTTAAAAAAACTAAACATATAGTTATCACATGATCTAGCAATTGCAGTCGTAGGGATTTGATCCAGACATGTGAAGACTTATGTTCAAACAAAAACCTGTGCATGAATGTTTAGATTTACTTAATATCCTTTCATTTAATATCCACTATATCTTTATAGGTGGGAATTATAAGCAGATATCTTTTTTTTTTATAGATATAAAAAGTGAAATTTGAAGGGGTGAATTGTTTACTCAAGACCATGCACATAACAGGCATACACCAGCATGCCAGCCTAGACATAATCCCAAAACTAGGTGTTTGATGATCCCATATGGTGGTCAGAGCACAAAAAGGAAATCACATCTTGGCTCATTAACCATTTACTAATACTTACTTTGAATATCGAACCATTGGGGCACAGACTTTTACCAGCTGCCCAGAATGAAGCATTTCTATTGGATCTTTTTTTCTTTCTTGACATATTGTGGTTGGTATGCAGTCACTCTTCATGAATACAGATTTGTTTCAAATCTGAAAGAGACAGTTTGCATAGAGAAAAATTACTTTCATTAGATGAATTCCCATCATTCTAACAATTTCAACTGCCAAGAATATATATTTTTTTGTCAGGCTTGTGGGCTCGGGAATCTTTTTAGCTTTTTTTCACAGTATCAAATAGGATACTACAGAATCCTATCTCTATAAGTCACTGACAGTTTTTAGTACACTGTGAAATCATCACGTTTATATATTCAGTACAAATTATGCTTGTTCGTGTCAAACACTAACAGATTCAAATTCTATACTTAACTCACTAAAGTAACATTTTCTGCTCAAATTAATAAATGCTCAAGATGTGGAAAGCTACAAGTTTTTTTCTTAGCATAGCACGGCTTTTCATATTATGTTTAATATTTCCCATGTTACTTTGTTTGGTATTGATAAACCAGAGAATCTGATTTGAATAATTTAATGTATAAGACTGTGTATGTCTGGCACTTGAAATACCTTGTTTTATACAGGAAAGCTAAATGGGGTTAATGTTTATTGTTATTCACAATTTCTATTCTTTGTATCTGGATCAGAAGGCAAACTTTTATTTAAAAATTTAAATGTGGTATCAACTAGCAAAAATTCCCATTATGATCATGTAATTGAATACATCACTTTTTAAAAAAGATTATTTTTATTTATTTATGCATGAGGGACACAGAGAGGCAGGGGCACAGGCAGATGGAGAAGACGGCTGCCAGTGATGAGCCTGATGCGGGACTCCATCCCAGGACCCCAGGATCACACGCTGAGCTGAAGGCAGATGCTCAACCACTGAGCCACCTAGGTGTCCCTGAATAAATCAATTTTATATCCAGATACAAGTGATTAAGTAGTTCCTAAATGTTTTTAAATTTGCTATACTTAAAATGCTGTCATTTCATAGTGTTGGCCGCTTTCCATATTCCAATGTTTGGCCTCAGTAACTTAGCAACAGATATGGGCAAACTTTAGGAAGGTCTAATTGCTCAACATGCAATTTTTTGTTTAGCTCACCTAGAAAGTAGTTATAATCTAAATATAAGCCAAGAATTTCGACTTCTTTAGGTAGTATACAGTTGAAACAAGCTAGCTTTATTGACCAATGTTCAGTCTTTTATCTCTTTATAATTTTTATTTACTTACTTTAAAGAGTTTGAGAGAGAGAGTGAGTGAGCATGGGAGAAGAGAAGAGCAGACTCCGTGCTGAGCACAAAGCCCGATACGGGGCTCGATCTCATGACTCTGAGATCATGACGTGACTGAAATCAAGAGTAGGATGCTTAACTAAGACACCCAGACACCCCTTACCTCCTTTTTTAAAGTAAAAATTTATGATTAGACCAATGTAAGCCCACATAAGTAAAACATAAGCAACAGAAAGGTAGTTCCTTTTCATGAATCAAGCCTGTTTCTTCCCTCTGGCATTTCATATCCTAACTATGCCATCCCTACACACTCAAGTCAGAAACCTGGAGCTTGCCCTCCACACTCACTTCTCCATGTCCCACAAGTGGGTCAACCGAGCAGTACCTTTCATCAAATCTTGAGCATTGCCCTAGTGTGTGCACTCAATCATCCCCCATCTTGATTTTGTCTTCTCTGAATCCCAGATAGAGATGATCTTACTTACTCACTACACCCTAGGTTCTCCTGTCGCCATATGCACTTATCATTATAGAGTATAATAATAACACATCCACTTCTTGAGTTTTTGAGGGCATGGACATGTATTTAATCATACAACAAATATTAAGTTCCTGCTATGTGTTGGGAATACAGATGGAAATACATTTCTTGTCTTTAAAAATGTATTCGAGTTAGACATACTTACACAAAATGGTAGTTCTAATACATGCACTTAGACACAATTTAACTGTTGTGGAAATAAGTGTCTAGAGAAATGAGGGAAGACATCAACAGCAGAGGAGGGAAAGCTTTAGCTAACATATGTGGGAGATGGGGCGCTGTCCTACTGTCCTGTTACAGGGAGCAACATATAAAACCAGAGGTTTGAAAATGATGAAATAAACCTGAAGAATGAACCATTAGTAGTCCTGTGTTATTTGAGCATACTAGAAGAGGGAGAAGGCCTGTATAACCATGGACCTTTATTCTAACCTGGAGTAAAATCTAAATAATTTTATACTATAGGGCCTTGGTTAACCATTTTTCCACCTCCGTGGGTGATGTTTCATATGCGCCCACCATGCATATGTGCATATAACATACTTTCATACATAGCAGGTAGTTTTGTATTGGCTGTATGTCTCTCCTTGTATATGTGTAAATGAAACATTTTAGTGGGAAAATGACATAATTGGATTTCTAATTTAGAAAAATTTTACTGAAAGGGGGAAGGACTTTTGGCAAAATATCAAAGGAGGCTATTGTAGTAAGCTGGTCCGATGCATGAGTGTCTGACCTGGGTCGCTAAGAATAAGAAGTGAGAACCCACTTAGGAGCTATTTAGAAATAAAAATAAGCTGGCAAGATATTTAGTTGGTGGAAATCAGCTAAATTTCAGGACAGTGCATGTTGTATAGTATGAGAGAATTCTAGGATGATGTGCACGCTTTGGCTTTTGAGGCTGGGTGGGTGTAAGTCCAATCTATGAGACAGAAAATAAAGAGGAATAGGTTTTACCAGGGAAACAGGAGTTCATATTTGGGCACATTAAATTTGAGGTGCTCATGAGATTTCCAGATGGTGATGTCTCACAACTGCTTATACAGATATGATGCTCAGGAAAAAACTAGAGATACAGACTGATGGTTTTTAACTTTTAGGTAATAAGTTGAAATGAAAAAAAATCAAGAACATGGACAAAGCACTTAAAGATGCCGTATCTGGCAAGAAATCCTTAGAAGCATCAACATTCAACTAAAAGAAAAAGAATAATGCAAAGGAGACAGTGATATGAATTCTGGAGCTGAGAAGAATAAACCTGGAGTGATATTCAAAGACTGAAGACGGGAGAGTGTCAAAGAAAGAGGGGATAAGCATCTTAAACATCACAGAAGAGTTAAGTAAGGAAAAGACTAATAAAAAGCATCTAATTAGGAACTAGGTCATTAGGAACTTCAGCAAGAACAATTTCATTCACACTCATTCTTGTAGTTCCAGTACGTGGTACAAAGGCCTCCCTCAATATGTATTTGCTTAATGAATAAATCAGTAGTTTTCAATCTTGATTCTATATTAGAATAATTTGGGGAGCTTTTAAGACTCAGGATGCTCAAACCATACCCCAGACCAATTAAGTGTGAATCTCTGGGCTTACCGTGCAGCTATCAGTGTGTTTTTTTTTTTTTTAAAGCTCTCCAGGTGATTTCAATGTGTAGTTAAGCTTAATAAACAAATCCAAACTATCAAGCACCTGGTACCATTGTTTGTCTACATGGGTTTCTACTTTATGAGCTCCTCTGGGACATGACAGGAATGGAGTCTCATTTGTAAACTCATGTTGGTGTGTACAGTTGGGGCTCAAAACTCTTCACTAAATGAACGAGTTTTACGCAACTTTTCTAGAACCTTCCCAAAGTAAAAGCCAAGGACAGAAAAAAGAACCCATAATTCAAAGATATTATTCAGGGCAGCCCTGGTGGCTCAGCAGTTTAGCGCCGCCTGGAACCCACAGCGGGATCCTGAAGACCCAGAATCAAGTAAGTGGGGCTCCCTGCATGGAGCCTGCTTTTCCCTCTGCCTGTGTCTCTGCTTCTATGTCTCTCATGAATAAAAATCTTAAAAAAAAAAAGATATTATTCATCAACATTAGAGAATTAAAAATTGTATTATGGATAATGAATTCTAGCGTGAGTCTGAGCACATTGCCCTGAGCGATTCTCGTGATACATTCAGAACCAACGATTCTAGCCAGACTGTGATTGAGACCAAAAACACCAGGGAAAAACCTGAGACAAAGTCGAGGGAAAGCATAAGACACACGCTCACCTGAGTGGTTATGAGCATTACATGCACAAAGTACTATTATAGCACCTTGTTGAAATACTATTAGCAGAATCGAGGGAACCATGTGGCTTCGGAATTGGGAAAAACTGGTTCTCCGTGTATAGGGCAAGTTATATTACAGATTTTTTTAAAAAAAGATTTTATTTATTTATTCATGATAGACACAGAGAGGAAGAGAGAGAGGCAGAGACCCAGGCAGAGGGAGAAGCAGGCTCCATGATGCGGGACTCGATCCCGGGACTCCAGGATCACGCTCTGGGCCAGAGGCAGGCGTGAACCGCTGAGCCACCCAGGGATCCCCTGTATCACAGATCCTTGTGCAGGGATGCTTAACCTTCTCGTACCAGGGTGGCTGACCCGTTAACTTATCAGTGTGCATCTCGGGGGCGGGGACCTCGGTGAATAATGCAGATGCATTAGCGGAGAAGATAATGGGGACTAACTTGATTCGGCAGCTTCAATACTGTTAGTTGGAGATCATGGAAAATCCGTCCGTTTGAAAGAGGAAAAAAAAAAAAAAGTTTGGCATCACTCCTAGCACGTGGCTGAAAGAAAAAGCTCAAGGTCAAGGGAGGGCAGAGGCTGAGTCCGCTGGGCTTTCCCGGGTCGGTCCTCCTTGTCCACCAGCCTTCGGCTCCCCCTAACTCTGTCCTCCGCGCTCATCCTTCCCCAGCTCTCCCGCCAGCGTCCACCCCAGGGCGGCCAGCCACGGCGCGCGGCGCCCGAGGCCCCGGCTGTGCCCGCGGAGCTCCCAGAAACCTCCGCTCTCGCGTCCGGCCTCCGCCGGGAGGCCCCAGTTCCGGGTTGAATACTTGCACGGCCAGGTTCCCGCGCCCGCCGTCTCTTGGGCCGGGGGCACGACGGCACACGGCGCCAAGCCCGCCGCCTCGGCTCCCCGCGCGCGCCGGCTCCGGGCCCCGCGGCGCGGCTCCCAGCCCGAGATTCGCGCGGCGGCGGCGCCCACGGAGCCGACTCCCCAGGCCGTGGGCGGGGCGGGGCCGGCGGCGCGGGCATTGTGCGTCAGCACATGGGCGGGGCGGGGGCGGGACGCCCGCTGACGTCATCAGCCCGGCACCTGCCAACATGGAAGGTGGTGACGGCGGCGTCGCTGTGGCTGGCCATGGGGCTCTGGGCTGTGGGGCGGCGGCAGCGGCAGTCCGGGAGCTCCTGCAGGACGGTAAGGAGTCTGGCTCTGTCCGGGGGGCGGGCCTGCGGGACGGTCCTGCTCCGCAGCTGGGCCCGGGCGGTGGACCCAACCCGTCGCTTTGCAGAAAGTTTTCCGGTCTCGACGTGACCACTCCCCCCGCCCGGCCCCCTGGCGCCCGGGTGCGGGCCGCACCAACCTGCTTCTGCAGAGGCTGGCTGTGCCCTTCCCTCCGGGGTGGGTGTCCAGCGGGAGCCTCCTTCCTGGTTGCCCCTCATTTCGGCTCCACCCTTCCCGCGCCCTGAGGTCCTGGGACCGCCGTGCCCCGGTGGCCCGGGTTGACAGCCGCTGCCGCCGCCGCAGTTGGATGCGAGGAGGCGGCGTCGGATCCCGTGAAAAGTGACGGACCCAGAACCGATAGGCGACAGCTCGTAGGGTCAGAGGGCTTCATCCTTGGGCAGAGTTGGACGCCTCCTCCCTCTGTGAACAGATTCTTGGGCGGCACAGGTGTTTCACACGGCGTTTATCCACAGCCACACTTGGAGGCGACTTCGGAGCACTAGTTCAGGCAGGGATGAACCATATGTGTTGAATATAGCAGCTTATTGATAGTTTTGGAGAGACGAAAGCCCCAGGAAATAAGTTAAACGTAGCATATTTGAGGAGCACATTAAATTGTGTTAATCCAGTGAACCTGCCACAAATCTCCTTCAGGATAAAGTTCAGGTTTCTTTTCATCTGTTCTTAATTTTCTTATTTTCTTTCCTAATCGCCATCACCTTCTACCTGGTAGTGACATATAGTTTGTGTACTTATTCTGCTGCATTATAGAACTGCTTTTTGTATTTTTTTTAAAGATTTTTATTTATTTATTCATGAGAGACACAGAGAGAGAGAGAGGCAGAGGGAGAAGCAGGCTCCACTCAGGGAGCCCGACGTGGGACTCGATCCTGGGACCCCAGGATCACGCCCTGGGCTGAAGGCCCCGCTAAACCGCTGAGCACCCCAGGCTGCCCCGCTTTTTGTATTCCACAGTTCATAAGGGTACCTTTCATATGCTAGGTGCAGGATATATATACTATTTTAATTGAACAGCACAATAAGCATATGCACACATTTGTAAACCAAAGTAGGTCATAAATGAAATAACATTCTAAATTACTTGTTTTCCCTTGAGTTGTGTATTTTATCATTGCCCTTAATTCCTTGCCTTCTCCTGATGATGTATATACTTTTGTCGAAACTTACTAATGAGGTGGTTTTCTGAACAAAGTTGTGTTAGATTCTCTCGGTTAGGATCTCTGTCCAATGCACCTTCGCATCTTAGTTTAAATTCCATTTCGCCAAGTTTTGAACTCCTAATACGTGTGCATTTCCCACCCTCAAACAGCTTGCCATTTTACTAAGGGGAAATAGCTATAAAGGTAAGCATTATAATATAGTGTTGCTGTGTAGCAGAATTGTGTACAAAGTCAATACAGAGGGGGATAATAACTGGGAGTGATTAGGGGAGTGTGAGGGAAGGCTTTCCAAATGGAATTGGTTTTGAAGTGTAAATAGAACTTCCCTAGATGAGGAAGTGGAAGAAACAACACATGCCAGGCATAGGTGTATATTTTATTTTAGTAGGATGCATTCTGGAATTGTAATCAGTTTTTGAAGGGCTAATAGTCCTTAATTCTGCCTTCTGTATTTTCCTATTTAGTTTCCCATCTTCCTTGGTGATTATTTAAATCCTTACTCTTGCAGACCTCTCCTTTCCAGCTCAACAAATGACTTTAAACTTCTATGAAAAGAGATGTGAACTTCCTCCATTTCTTGCCATCAGATCTATAAACTAAGCCTAGATCTGTAACTGTCTTTTTTTTTTTTTTTTTTTTTTTACCACCTTGTATTTTCCATTATAATAGAAGTGGCATCTCTGCTTCTAAAGACAGTCTTCCTCCCGTGCTCTGGATTTTTTTTTTTTCCTGTCTCAAGGAGCAAGTCACTTTCATTCTACACCATTGAAATCTCTTTGCCAAGGTCTCTGCTGATCTCCTTGTAGATAAATCAAATGGATACTTTTTGGTCCTTATCTTACTTGAACTTGTAAAGAGGGTTTGACTCTTCTTAATACCTCTCGTGTGATTTCTGAGTTCTGTGCTTAAAAAAAATTTCCTAATTCTCTAAGTGCTCTCTTCTAGGTTCCTTTATTTTTATTTTTTTTTAAAGTTTTGTTTATTCATGAGACACAGAGAGGCAGAGACATAGGCTGAGGGAGAAGCAAGCTCCCTGCAGGGAGCCTGATGCGGGACTCGATCCCAGGACTCCGGGGTCATGGCCTGAGTTGAAGGCAGATGCTCAACCACTGAGCCACCCAGGTGTCCCTTTTTGGTTCCTTTAATTGCTTGTCTTCAGTTTGCCCGTAATTCATTGGTTCACTACAACGTTCCTAAAAAAAAAAACCAATTCTGTGTGTAACAGTGATTCACTATGTAAAGGATTTGCCAGGGTAGAGGATAGGATTGATAGGGTTTTGAGCAGATGCATAGCTGAAATAATTTGTGGGGTGCTTCTGATTTTCCTTCTATATGAATGAGACAACTGTAAAGGAGAAGCATTATATGATTCTTCTGATGGACAATCAAATCCTGAAATGCCAAGTCCAGTTTCCAGTATTCAGCCTTCATTGTGTTTGATCTTTGACACTACTACCCACTTACTTTCTCTAAACCATCCCTTGCCATTTTTCCTTGTCTTCTTTTTTTTCCCTCTGAATGCTCTTTAGTCTCCTTGATTGCTTTCATTTTCTCCATCTCCTTCGAAAGTTTTGTTTTCCTGGCTTCTGAACTTCTTCTCCATTTCCCTCTTTTTGTACATAGAGACAGAGAGAGAGAGAGGCAGAGACACAGGCAGAGGGAGAAGCAGGCTCCATGCAGGGAGCCAGACGTGGGACTCAATCCCGGGTCTCCAGGATCACACCCCATGCTGAACGTGGCACTAAACTGCTGAGCCACCGGGGCTGCCCTGTGGTCAGTTTTTTAAGATACCTACTTGTTATGTCCCCTGGCTTACACAGTTCCTGGAAATTTAACTGTTGACTCTCAGGAGCCAGCAGGAGCCAGTTCCAGCACACCACCGTGTGACTAATTCCTTTTCAGTCATCCTCCATGATGCTGTCAGAAACTAAAACACAAATGACAGTGCTGTTTCCTGTCTTTAACCTCAATGGGATATAGTCTAAACATTTGAGAAGTCATACCAGTCGCTTTTTAAACTGCCCTCAGTCTTCCTTTGGAACTTCAATTTTCTATCATTCTTGTCCCTTCTGCCCAGCATACACACAGTGTGATCTAGACACATTGACGTCGGTGGTGCCCTTATTTCTCAAAATATGCTATGGCATTTGCTGCCTCTAAACCTTCTTGGAGTGGCCTTCTTCACTTGGCTGCCTTGAAGAATCTTTAATCCTGAAAATTCCTTGGCAAACTGGAAGGAAATGAGGTTCCCAGAATTAAGGCCAAAGTAGCAGCTTTCCTTTCACTTTAAGAGTCGTCAAGAATGAGTCTTTGCCCTTTGCAGAATGCTACTTCCAGCAGGTATATAGATGAATTCATCCATTCAACCTGTATGGAACACCTACCATGTGTCAGACGTTGTTCAGGCTCTAGGGACATGGGAGTAAAGAAAACAAAGCCCTTGCTCTCATGGAGTGTACTTTTTAGTGGATAGAGACACTACAAGTTTTCTTGTAAGGACTCTATTTTGCTGGTTAGTTTTATAATTTCTTCAGGGTGATCTTACCTGTATCTATCACATGGGTCAAAGATAGTGGTTTTATACCTACAGTGAGCTCACTTCTACGTAACTTTTTAACTCTTAACTCTATTTATCTTTTACCTATAGATTTTTGGGTTTCTGTACGGAAAGATGCCTTAGCATCTAGCATCACTTCTTTTTGTTTATTAAGGCTGTGTTTTAAGCATAGTCTCCCTTTCTACTTACTTATTTCGCCCATATATCCCTAATTTCAGTAATATCTATAAGTTTGTATTTGCCTACTTTTATTATAATTCCAGAATCACTTTATTGTGACAGCATTTGTGCATTGGAGATACAAGAGATCATAAATATCAAATATAGTGAATTGGTTTGTTGTCATTGTCAGTGACCTTGTTTTCTTGCATTAAAGCCTGCAGTTAGTAGTTAATTTTTAACCTTCTACTTAATATGTTCCTTTTGACTCACTGGTAAAAGTTAACTGTTCGTAGTGTAATATAGGGGTTTATAGTGTGGGCTCTGCAGCTAGGGTGCCTGAATTAAAATCTCAGACAGGTTGGACAGGTTGCATGCCCTGTCTTCACCTGTCTCTTCATCTGTGAAATGGGGGAAACAATAGTTGATAGTTCGAACAGAGTTGTGTGAGGATTGAATGAGTTAATATGTTTAAAGTGTGTAGGTCAATGCCTGGCCCACAGTAAGCTCTCTGTGAATGTTACCATTACTTCTCATTTACAACAGTTCTCCATGTATAAAAAGACTCAGAGTATGTTATTTATGATTATACTTGTTCTGTTGTGTGCTGTGGTTTATTGCAGTGCAACTAGTATTTAAAGAGTTTGCTTATTTTTTTCTAGAGTGTTACAGTGATTTTTTAAATGAAGACTTTGATGTCAAGACTTATACTTCCCAGTCTATCCATCAAGCTGTAATTGCTGAACAACTAGCAAAACTTGCCCAAGGAATCAGTCAGTTGGATAAAGAGCTACACCTACAGGTATTTTCAATCTTTTGGATCATCTGGCTTCTTCAGCCTACAGTGATAATTTATCACTTTGTA